TTATGGCGATGGAGTGTTGATATTGACATAGTTCAGCGAATGAAGAGGCAGCGGCTACGGTGGCTAGGTCATGCCGTCCAAATGGATGAAAGCACTCCAGTTTTGAAGGTATTCCATGCAATACCCGCTGGTGGAAGCAGAGGTAGAGAAGACCTCCACTCCGTTGGAAGGATGGGGTGGAAAGTGACATAACTTCACTTGGGATTTCCAACTGGCGACAGGCAGCGAAATGAAGAGAAGAATGGCGTGCTAATATTGATTCGGCTATAATCGCGTAAGCGATGCCAACGCCCATAAAGAAGAAGAAATATTAAAATAAAAATCCAATAATGAATAATGAATAAATAAAATAAATAACAGCAAAATGATTTATGAAATATAAATATATTAGCACAATTTTAAATAGATTTACGTTCAAATGTACATAAAAGTATTTTTTCTTTTACTAATTTTCTGTATTTAAATAAGAATTTTTTTTAAATTTTCAATTTTTTTTTTTGAAATTCAATATAACACTCTCAGTGCTAAACTCAATAAATTCCCAGACGTGCTCCAACGATCAAACCCGTGTGAAGGAAAAGGAATATTTAATTAAACTTTGTGAATTTTAAAACACAATAAATAGTTGAAAATGTGAACAGAGAAAATAAATGAAATTTGCATTTTAAGTATATGATGAAATTTCATATAAATATTGCAAATACAGTAAAGCAAGCTTTGCAAAATTAAAAATACTAAGTAACTTACATATTGACACATATAGCGATATATGTAAGTATATAAGCACGTGAAAAAAGCTGCATTGCATTTATTGAAATTGCAAATCCAGACTTTTTTCCACTTCTAGTGAAGAATGAATGAATAAATGAATGAAATTTTAGTGCGAATATCGAATAGCCACGGCGATTACGGCGGTGGCGGGGCGACTTGAAAAGTTTTGGTGTGCAAATTTTCGGTGGAGAAATCGCCTGATAAGCAGATGTTTAAATAAACAGTTATCAACTTCATTCAACAACATTCTGCTGAGGGCGTGCATGGTGGACAATTTTAGATTAGTTAATTAGAAATACAAAAACAATGTTGCACCGAAAACATATCAAATGAAAATTAACGGGCAATAAATCAACTTTAAAGTTTTTCTGAAAGCCAACACAGATATCCCCACTCTTTTAGACCGTTAGATATGTATGCATGTACATACATATGTACATAATCTTACAGAGCGATAGTCACTTGCCGTCTAGCGAGTTTATACAACTTTTATCTACAGTGATTAGCATCTATGTAAATACTACATGGAGTATCAGAGTAGACCATGTACGAGTATGTATGTATGTCTATTTATAGCAATTGTATATATATATATATATCATTTATACTTGAGTACCTCCACTTTCCGCTTTTCTACCATCTTTCATTCGTATGATATTGTTGTTGTAGCTTACACAAGCAATCGCCGCGTTGAGCAATGGATTCGATAGCGTCTGAGTGGCTGCTTGGCTGGTTAGTTCGTTGTTTAACTGACGAACTGACTGACTGGCTGGTTGTCTGGTTGGCTTATTTGCCTTGCAATTATACACTTTTTCACGTAGCGCTTGACAACAGTAATTGCCAGCTGGTTGACGGGCTTGGCAGGCTGTTTGTTTTCTGCTACACTTTTTTCAGCGTTTCTTCTTCTCACTCAACACTCCTCGCCAAATCTCTTGGCGTCAACTTAGTTTCGCTCTACTCAATTTACAGCGATTTTTAATGTTTATACATTTTACTGCTCTTATTTCATTTCTTCATATTTGTGGCTTCATTTTTGCAACTCTACCTGTCGAGTGGAACATTATTTTATTTTTGCTTTCTTCGTTTTATTAACACTTTTCATATTTTTCTGTAAGGTTTTGTTTAGCTCACAATTCAACCGCAGCGCTGAGCTGTCTCAGCGGTTGAGTGGCACTGTGGGCAGGTGTTGAAAAAATGCATACGAATTACTGGGGACTAAATGATTGAAGAAAAGTAAACTTAAATAAATTTCAATAAAATAAACAAGATAAAAGAAACAACAATAAAAAAACACAGGTAAATAAAATAAAATAAAATTAAAAATTACAGTAACACAAAATAAAATTATATATAATATAATATAATGAAATAAAATAATAACATATAATAAAAATCCAATTAATTGAAATATATTTAATTTAAATAAAATGTAATGAAATGTAGCAAATTACAATAACTAAATTTGTTTTCATATTGTGCCGCCTTCACACCACTGTCAGTCACTGTCTGAGCCAACAGCGCTTTGAAGTGAGTCATTCATCATAATTAAACGGCGACTAGCGTTGGCAACAAAGATATTAAAGCGTCGACAGAAATGAACAAGAAGAAAAAAAAAACAAAAAAAAAAACATCGAAAACAAAAACTGTCGAGGAACAAAACACTCACCAAGCCCGAAACAAATTATTGAAAAAAGGAAGAAGTTGGTAAGAAGCAATTAAGAAAACAAAATGAGTGGTTAAATCAACAACAAAAAATATTTAAAATTTCCTTTTTTTCTGAATAAAATAATGAACATAAAATAAGCGCTAAATCAGTGTAATTAAAATTTAACTGGAAAAATATTCAAAACTCAAAAGAGAAAGAAAAGGAAAAAGAAAAAAGAAAAGAGTGAAGATAAGCAAACACGTCATTAAAATATATTAAAAACTTAAATTTGTTAATAAAACTTGTCATAATTCTGAATAAATTGCAAACATGCTCCAATGTAAAAGTAAATAAATATTATGTAAACATTTAATATTATGTATGTATGTTCGTTAGTTTATACATAAAGATTGATTTTGTGCCACTTGTGAGAGGTATAAAGGCAAATAAATTTAAATAAATAATTTTACAATAAATTTCATAACGAGAATTCAATTGAAATAAGAGTAAAGAAAACTTGTTGTCCTTATCGGAATTGAAGATCTGTAAAAATATACCTAAATAATTTCCCTTTATTTCTTCAACCTGCCCTAATTTACGTAGTTTAGTAAAAATGCATATTTATACTCGCTCGGGGCGGCAGCGCTCAAGGCGGAAGTGTTGAGGTTATTTGTAGGACTCGCCGGGTCGTATGAGTAATTACCGCTTGAGCCTAAAAGCAGCGGAGACGCTTTTAAGGTGAAATTACTCATGTTTGGTAAATCATTTATTTGCTTGAATGCTTGAATATATAATGCATAAGTCCATATGTATTAACTGATAAATATGTAAGTAAATTCAATTTAAATATCTTCATCGTTGCTTAGCGCGAACGACAGTTCTGGTATTGCGTAAGCAGAACTTGGAAAATGAACTTCTTTCCACGACTTAAGCAGTGTTTAGTGACACCTTTCAATTGTACTTTCCTACGGTGAGTAATATGTGATGACGGACACGAATAATAAGCTGATTAAATAGCAAATTGATAACATTAATGCCAATAGCCTACACAATGAGGTCAGGAATTCATATTTATAAAAAAAATATGAAAAGCAGAACACAGACACACCGAAAAATGTATGAAAATATCAGCGAGTTCATAGATATTTTGTATTGTCCACAAAGTAAAATGTATCTAAGTAGCCATAAAAAACGATTAATTGGCTTTAAGGGCATTGCGAGATTCACTTTCTGAACGAGTCATTTCAAAACTATATTTTTCGTTGAATAGGATCTGATAGAAAATTGTAGGATTATGAAGTGAGTTTCGGTATAAAGAAAAAAGTTTTCAGTAAAATATTTTACACGAAACATTCCTTACCTTATTTTGGAGTTGTGTAGCTCAGAGTATAGTTGACTAAGACCCACTTTTGACTCATTCCATATATTTTTCATATATTTTCAGTTTTGCCACGCTCTTAAAAGTTTTTCAAAAATATTTCAAGCCTTCTGTTCTCGAGAACCTAAAGCATTAGAAATCGACGCATCAAAAATCTAAAATCGAAACTTGCTATTAGATGCAATTGCTTACCTTCTGCCGCATTTATTGATAATTTTTTCCATCTAAAAATGCGTGCCATCAAAGCCAAACGTCTGATATAAATATCCCATTTGGAAAATATATATAAAAAATTTAAAAATTCGCTTTTTCTCGCTACGCTAGACGCTAGAAAACAGTGAAAAAACAACGCAGAAATCCGGAAACCCTCCCAAAGTGCCCCCCTTTCGTCCCCTCAAATGGAAAAGTCATCAAATTTATTTTTACAAAAAAGTATTTCTCACTTTATTTGTGAAGTTTTTTTTAATTGGTTTTGATGTATTTGTGTATTTTTTTTGTAATTTTAATCTGGCAACATTAGCTGTATTCAGTTCTTTTTTGTTTTTTATGTATTTTTTTGTTCTTGATTTTTTTTAAATTTTTCTTGAAAAATTGCAACGCACAAAGGCGTTTATAAAAATGTATGTAGTTGGTGTGTGTGTGTATATGTATGTGTTTGTTTATACAATTTGTTTTATTGTTGTTTGACATTCTTTTAATATATATGCTCTTTTTTAATTTTTGTATTTTTTTTTTAATGCATAATATGTAATTAGAAAAAAACTTAACATTAATACAATCATTCTTTGTTGTTTTGTAGTAATAATAATAATAATAATGGTAATAATAGTAGTTAATAATAAAAAAATTAATACATGCACAAGGTTTGTTGTTGTTTTGTTGGTTTTTCTTGTTATTTTATTTTTTGTCATTATATTTTATTATTTTTTGTTGTAATAAATATTTTGTTATTATTTTACGACCAAAAATAAGATCTTACTACAGCTTGTTGTTGTTGTTGTTTTATTTTCTTTTATTTTGATAGCACTTACTAGCTACTACATACCTAACGGTTATAATGAATTAAATAGGCTATTTTTGTTTCTGTTGCAGTATTTTTGATTATTTGTAAGCTATTTTTGTATTTGCATATTTTGAATATTGATTTTGTTGCATTTTTGCTGTGTCTACCTATACTGTGCCATAAGTATGTACTGTTGTTTCTTGAATATTTTTTTTTTTTTTTTTTCTTCATCAACTATTGCAAAGTTTGTTTTTCTCAGAAGTGGATTTTGAAAGGTCTATTGTATTTCTTTGTTTTTGTTTTTGTTTATGGTTATAACTTCATAGGTATGTATGCTTGTGTAGGTGTGTGAGCATTTGAAATTATTGCTAATTTATTGTTTATTTTGGAGTTTATTATTCGCTTTTATGTATTGAAAAAACCTTAATTTTTTATATAATTTCTAGCAAGTATTTGAATTTTTTTTTTGTATTTTTTACATTTAAAAATTTTTGGAAATTTATATTTTTTAATTTTAAAATTTTTTTCTTTGAATTTGTTAATACTAGAGTTTTTGTTGCAAATGTCACAATTAAGTTTCAAAGTATCATTTTCAATTTTTGTTTTCCTCATAATTTTGAATTTTTATTAATATCGCATATATAGCTTTTCACACAATTACTCATTTTTATACAGTTTTATGAATTTTTTTGGAAAATTTGTCTCACAATTGTATTTGTTAAAGTACTTTTCACATGTTATTTTGTATTAAATTTAAAATTTTTTCTTTTTGTTTTTTTATTTTTATTTTTATTTTATTTTTTTTTTTGTTTTATACATATATTTAAATTTGTATCGTCTTCTTGCTCAATTGCAATTCGCTTCTTATTTAATTGCTACGCTGCTGCTGCTTCTCTTCTTCATCTTCTACTTCTTTATCAACATCTCTTTTATACTTTTTCGTAATCTTAATTAAAAAAATCTTAGCATCTTAAAGTGTTATCACATTTTCATGAGTTTGAGATTTTGGCTGCAAGTGGGGGGTACGGGCATGTACGGCGCACGCACACACACTTGGGCAAGAAATGCAAATTCCGCTCACTTGCGAACACACATGCGCACATATACGTCGCTGAAGTGAGCCTTGGCATATGCAGACATGTGTGTGGGTTTTAGTGGCAAGTGCGGTAATTAATTTTTTTAACTGAAAACTATTTTTTAAAGATTTAATAAAAAATTTTTTCGAAAACTTTTGTAATTTTTTTTATTTTTATTTTTTTTTTTTAATAACTGAATTTTTTTCGAAAACATATTGATTTTAATTTTTCAACATATTTAAATATATTTTGAAAAGTTTCATATATGTAAATAAATTCTAATTATATATGGAAATTGCTTTTTGAATTTTTCGAAATATTTTTTCACCCTCGTGCTTGCGTGCGTGTCCGGCACGTGGCCACTGCAGCCTGAGAAATCTTAAAATTTCATGCATTATTTTCATTCTTCACCTCTACTACTACATAGTACGTACTTAACGCATTAACTGTAATTTTTTGAATTTCAAAAAAGTCAATTAATCATGCGATCGTTCACCGAAAAACAATCTTCGAATCAAGACTTAAACGCTACGAAACGTTTACTGCATTCACAGAAAAATTTATTAAAAATTAAGGATTTAAAAAAAAAACATAAAAATATACTTTTAAAAACTTTTCTCTTTTAATTTTAGTATCTCTTATCTTTAATAATAGTTTATAATTAAAAATTTTTGTTTTAAATATGCAGATCATTCGTGGTTGCGTTTAATCGCGGTACTAAAAACTAACGAGTTCATTTTTGTTTCAATTGAAAGATACTTTTCTCCACGTTTTCATACGTCATTACATGAGATAGACATACAAATGTATGTATGTATGTAAGTATGTAAGTTTGTGAATATATAATATATTTCTATATGTATATGTATGTATGTTTATATGTGTGTGGGTGTGCTTGACTGATGAAATGTGTTGTAAGAAATGTGAAAGTGGGTAAGAAGAAAAATGTCGTGGAAAGTCGAGAGGCCCAATTTTGTGAGGCGCTCCCTTAGATACTGTAAGTAAATTGCTTAAAAATCCTATGTGGTTGTGTGAGTGTGTGTGTAGATGTATTTAGTTTTTCAACTATATTGCTATTTGTCAGTATGTGTCTGTGCGTGCGTGTGTGTGTATGTGTGTCTGAGTGTAGGTGGGGTTGCTTCGCATAACACGCCTCTATGCTCGCTCTCTCACTCTCTAGCCCTCTCCTCTTCCTACGCTTCGTATTTGCATTATGCAATAATAAAAAATCCTTAACTTAATAACACTTCTTTCTTACAGGTTTTCGTTATCTTCAACATCGTTCGAGGTCGTCGAGCAGCAGTCATCTTCCTTAAAGCATTTAGTCGTTCGTTAAATCGGCTCGGCTCGTAAACTCCCACTCACGTTTCTTTCTCCCTCTACACGATGTGCTCGAATGTTGACCACGCCGTTAACTGCAACGTCGTCTCTTACGTACATACGCACAGCAACTGATGTAAACTGTCTTACCACCATCATCGCTCAGCCGTCAGCCCTCAGCCTGCACATTCGCGACACACGGCCACAAAACTCTACGTTTACGCACACCCATCACAACCGCCCCCTTCGCAGCCTCCTTCGTCGTACGTGCATCCAACTCATGGAACTGAGCTTTGCCAATGCACGCTTGCTGCCGCTGCTGCTTCTTCTTCTTCTACTATTTCAATTCACGACGATTGCGTTTGTGTTGTTGTTGTTGAGATCGCTGCAGACGCACCGTAACTGTAGCTGGTGCGATCCGATGAGTAAAGTTTATGCTTGGTTATTGTGAATGTTGGACTGATGGTGATTGTGCGTGCCAGACTCTTCATGAATTGTGGCAGCAGTGAGGTCCAGCCGCGATGATCTTGGCGAAGCTTCAAGTAGATCTCAAAAGTCGAAACCATTTCGGGATCCAAGTTGAGTTCGGCAATGCGGCGTGAATTATTCGGCTCATCTTCGAATTCGATGTAAATGGTGCAGCCGCGCAGACCACACGGCTCCTTCTCCGAGACGCGTATAATTTCGGCGGCAATGCGCAATGTGAGATCACAGGGTAAGGAGACTTCGGTGCAGGTGAGATGGCGCTGCTTAGCGGCGCGCAACTCATCCAACAGACGGAGGGAGAGATCTTCCACGGCTGCTGCATCGATATCATCACAGTTGAAGAGATTTGTGGTGGAATTTTGCGAGGGTGTGTGTTGGGTGGTGAGGTAGCTGCCGCCAACTGTGGGTGTTGCAGTGCTGGTGGTGGTGGTGTTATTTGTGTGTGTATTTGGGGTAGTGGTGTATGGGGCTGATGCGGCACGGCTTGCTGGCAATTTTTTCGACTCCTTCTTTAACGACGACGACGACGATGATGATGATGATGACGACGGTGGGGCAATCATCATCTCAGGCACCGCCAGCAATTCCTCGGTGCTCGCTGTGCGTTTGGTTTTCTTATTGTTATTATTACTGTTATTATTATGCATAATACTGTTTTTCACATTTTTATTGTTAACTCTGTTGTTATTATTGTTTTTCTGATTATTGTTGTGGTTGTTGCTAATATGATAATTCTGTTGACTCTGCAGATATGGTATGGGTATGCTGGCGGTTGGCTGCGGAGTGGCAGCCACCTCTGGTTCGGCATCGATCCAACCGCTGGGTGTGAGCGGCAAGAGGGGCGACAAAGTACTGGTCCAATCTGCGCAAGAAGATGAAAAGAAATAAAAGGAAAAATAAATGATTAGTTAAATGTAAATATTTTGTTGTTAAAATTATTTATTTGCCTACACTTTTATCTCTTCCTATTCTTCCAATATCCTCTTAAGCAACTTCATTACCTATTTTGCTGCCCTGCGCTTTACAATCTTAAGCCAAAGTAAATATTTTCGTTAAATGTTTAAACGAGAAACAACAACTATCAAATAAGTACACAAAAAAAACACCAAAAAATGTACGTGCATATGTAGTGATGTATGTATGTATGTATTGTATCTAGAAAATTCGTATGGCCTGAAAAGCAACCAACAACAATAGTTTCATAGCATATCTTCATGAGCCACACAGTAAAGTGGGTGAGCGCATACATGCACGCACACACGCACATGCCGATATGCATACACTTAAACACATAGCAACAGCAGGCAACGGACGAGAGCGTACACCGTTACGACAGCCATCATCGTCATTGCTGGCGTTCGTTTGCCATAAAAACACATGTACAATGCATACATACATACATATATATGTTCATATGTTTATGTGACCGTTACCCCGATCAGCACCATTGCCGCTTGCGCCGCTTAGCAACAACAATCGTTGAGCAGAGCAGAAGGCAGAAAAAAAATAAAAGTTGTAAAAAAAAAATAAATAAATAAAATAAAAAGATTAAAAATGCTTTGATTATCGTTAGGTATTGTGAGCTGTTGTTGTTGTTGTTGCAACTTGTTTACTTGTACATCGGTACAAACAGATGCATATGTATGCAGCGGCAGCAGGCGACTTGCACAAAATGCTCGTGCGTAACGCAACGGCCGACACGAGTGAAAGGGGTGAATGGCTGATTGGCGGCGGCAGAGCGCCCACTTCAAGCTTTTATGCATGAACATACATAAGTGTGAATGTAAGTATGTATATCTTTCAATGTATCTTTTAGATACTTTTCAATTATTTCTTTGAATTTTTTCCTTATGAAATGCCTTGAATGTGCAAATTGTTTACGAAAAATGCAGAAAATTGCAAAAACTCGATATTAATTAGTCCAAGAGGTAAAGAAAAGTAAAAACTATGTACATACATATGCATGTATTTGAGTTGTACTTGTCCAATGAAACAGCTCAGGAAATTATACAAATTAGTTATATCAAAATTTATCACTTTTAGGTATTTAAAAATGAAAATAAAATCCGTAATTTAAAGCAATTTAAATTTTAATACTTCGAAAAAAATATTTATGTAAATGTAACAATTTTGAAAACCCCATTAATATAAAAATATTAAAATTTTCAATAAAATAGTAATTTATATTAATTTTCATAAATTTCTTGTCATATACATATGTACATATGTATGTATTTATATATAACTAATTTTGCTTGAAAAAACTGTAACTTTGATTTTGAAGAATTTAACAACTCACACGCTGTGTCTAAAAACCAGTATTTTAATAATTAAAATATATAAAAAATTTTCGTTCGAGAAAAATCTGTAAATCAAAATTTTATTTTTTTCTTCAATAAAAAGCGAATTTCTTTAAAAGATTTGTCACGCTTTAGTCTTAATTTTTTTTTCTCAATAATTTTTATTTCTATTCACAAATTTTTCTCGAAGTAAATCTTGATATTCTTATTGCAACACATTCATCGTAACTTCGACTTACCTCTAACTTTACTGGACCCGTATATGTTGTATTGCGACTGATATTGTTGTTGCACCGCAAGTACTTCCATTTTCATTTAAAATTTGTTATTAACTTGTTTGCAGATTTCAAAAAAAAAATAATTGATTATAAAAACAAAATTGCTTTTTCGGTGGTGGTGGCCTCTGCTTCTGCTTCTGCTTTCTAACTAATTAATTGATAGATATTTCGACTGGCGACTGTTTTTCGTAGAAATTGGCGAAAATCTCAGTTGAAATCACATTAATTTATCACTTCTGTTGAACGTTTGCAGTTCAGTTCTTTGATTTTTGTAAGTCAAAAATCTTTTTATTTTTTTAATTTTAAAAGTTTTTTCTTTAAGCTTTAACTTCCTATTTCTTCTGCTTATGCGCCTGCTAAGTTATTATCACAATTTGCTGTATTTCCGTTTTGTATTAAGTTGTTGAATTGCTTGATGCTGCATTGGAAAACGATTTGTTGTTGTTTGGCTTTCCAATGCGGATACTTTCAAATTTGTTAAATTAGCTTTTTGTAGTTTTGAAATCACAGCACTTGATTCTGCTTGCTTATTTTTAACTATTTATATTTTACTCTTTACTTTTTAGTTAAATTATCACTTAAATGGCGTTGGTCCGTATTCAGCTTTTCGAAGCAAATTTTTATTTCTGATGGCAATTTTTTCAAATTTCTTCTTTTGTTTGTTTAATAAAAAATAAGTACTAGAACGTAACTTATTTGCATAGATAGAATTCTTCTCGAAACAATTTAGTTGTTGTTGTTGCTGCTATTGCATATACATATATACTTTAGATGGGCATATATGTATGTATGTATGTATTTATGTATTTTTGTATCTTTTACTTTATATGAAACTCGCGTTCTACACACTTTCTATATTACATATACAAATATATATAAAATAAGTAAGTATTTGACTCGCTTCTATATCTTCTACTCGGAGCTCTTTAGTTTCTTTTCCGTTTCTTCTTGATGTGTACTTCTGCAGTGTTTCGAAGCTACTATGCCAAACCGGCTGTCTGTATCGCTTATTTATACCCAAGTCGGCTGATTTGCTCGCGAGTTGATTTTTTCACATTTCATGAACTGCACTCGCCGCTCACCACTGCTTGTCGGCGGCTAGCGCTATAGGTAGAGCCAATTGTTTAGCCAACCAGCTAGCGGCCGGCCTGTGTTTTGAGTACATATGTATGTATGCATGTATATGGTTTTGTATGTATGTATATAAGCCAAGAGGCACGTACGCGACGGCTAAGCATGAGCGCTTTCTACACCGAAGAGCTAGCCGTACCATTTGTATTGGGTGCCAATGCATGTATGTATGTGTGTGTGTGGGGATGTGTGTACAACTACTGAGTATCTATATAAGTATCTGCAGCTAATGGATTTGTTTGCGGCTCATTCACGCTCGCTCGCACCTTTCCATCGAACGCTCTTCTTAACCGCGAGCATACATACAGGCGCACAGGAGCACGTCCGCACCAGTAGTGGTGTTTAAGAGCGAGAAAGAGAGAGAGAGAGAGTGGGAGAGCGTGAACAGAATACGGTTGCATGTGAGTATATGAATCTCTTAAGACTCCTCAGTACGCTGCGACCCGCTCACTCATATAATCTCTAGAATATATTTACACAAAAGAATCAAAGCTATTGTCTTGTAAATCGTTTGTTATATACATACATTTATATATACATATATATATATATATTTGTGTATATGCATATGTACGCTTATCTTTAGGTGCTACACCTCATAATTGCATATACATAGAAACGATAGGCTTTACATATATTTACTTGCACGTTATACATACATATGTTTATACGATTATATGCATGTATACATACATATGTAAATGTACTTCTACGCTCTTTCAACAGCTGAGCGAGCGCTGCTGAGCCTTTTGGTCGGAGCTTGGGAAAAAAGGCAAGAAAATCAGGTGAACCTCGCTCGCACTTTTCTTGTTGTTGTACCTACGCTTCATATGAATTTTCTGATGCAATTATTGTTGGCAGCAAACGTAGCTGGCTGCCGCTGTCGCTGCTGTTGTTGTTGTCGCTGTTATTTTCAGCTGATGTTGGAGCTCAGCGTTCGTTCTTGTTGTTGTTGTTGTTGGCTGCTGTTGCAAGGATGATGAAAGTACAATTTAATTTTACAATAGCTCGTTGAAGATGTAGTAGGTGAACGAAGCAGCGGGCTACGGGGTTTCATAGTTACAAGCAGCAAAACCAGAGAGCGAAAGGAAAAGAGAGAAATTGGAAAAGGATGAACTTTTCTTTTAGTAAATAATACTCATGAGCATTTGTGAGGGTATATTGAGTGTTTTTCGTTACCGGCTGCTTAGCAGCAGTAGTAATGCTCAGGTGTGCGGTGAACCTAGAAAGGGCTGGCCGGTGGTGGTGGCTAGTGGCTGGTGGTTGGTGGTTGGTGGTTGACATTTGGAGATGAATCGCAAAAGCAATTGAAATTACCAACATTACCGCACAAAAGCAAACCTATTTATTTCCTTTCTGAAATCTGTGTTTATTTGCGCTCAAGCACTCTTTCACTCTCTGCAGCTCAATTATACACTGTGCTCTCAACCCCATCAACCAACCAACAGCTGATTTTACACATTTTCAGTATGAAAAAGTAAATGATTCTCTGATTTTCAATCATTTTTCTTAGCTTTTTAACCTTTTTTAGAGAAACACTCGCCTGCTCTTGCGCTCTTGTGCCTCAGAGCGCATTTTCTCATTGTAGCTCATCAGCTCAGCTGGTGGTTACTTGCCGCCGCTCTCACCCGCGGCCACTCCAGCTGCGCTTCGGCTGTTCTAAGCCTACCCCTGCTGCTTTGTTCTGCGTAACCTTTTTCCTCTTGTTGAGCACACATTGGGGTCTACGTGACTCTTTGCAGAGCGTAGATGGTTTCCTATATATTTATTTCTCTACAGCTTTATATACTCACATGTACAATATAAGTATTTCGTATAGGTATATTTACTGCCGGAAAGAGTTTCATCTTTTTAGACGTTTTGCAGTCGCGCGATGGATGAGTACGTACGGACCGACGACGAACGAGCGAACGAACAAACGAACAAACGAGCGAACGAGTGAACGTGTATATACGACAGACAGACGGGCTGACAGCACAAACAGACGGTCGATGAATAGAAGCTCGTTGTAAAATTGCAAGAATCATGAAAAATTGTTGAAGAGTAAATACAAAAAAGAATATAATTTTTGCAAAAATAATTAAAAAATTCAAAGAAAGAAAGAAAATGATTTTTCTTGTTGGTGTTGCAGTTCGATATTCTTTGCTCGCGTGATTTTGTATACTGACCCGCACTTTATATGTGAAAAAATTATTATTATTATGATTATTTTTTGCTTTGCCTCTTCATTTTATATTTTTTCATATTTTTTTTTTCTTTTGTTGCTTTGGCATTTTGCTGTTGTTGTTGGTTTTTAACTGAAAGTTAATACAAACAGGATGCGGAACCGATATATCAAAATGAAGCCCCCAAAGCACGCTGCCGCAGCTGGTGCGGGTGAAAGCGAAAAATATTGAAGTTAAAAAGACAACAACAAAAAGCAACTACAAAGTTTGTGCGCAAAGAAAATAAAATATAAAATAAGTAAACATTAAAGTAATTGTGATAATCATAGTAATAATAATAATCATTATAAGTGCGATTACGTGCGCGCAGGCGGACAAACGTACTTACATACTACACTGGCACATACCTACATATGTACATACATCTCATATGAATGAAGGCATAAAATTTGTTGAAAATTCTTGTTTATGAAACTGGTTAGCGTTAGATTAAATGAAATGTCTGTGTGTACATATGTAATTGATATAATTACAGTTGAGTTCAGAAGTAGGCAGGCAAGCAGACGTTTGAGCTGAGAAAATTTCTTAAATGCATACCTGCATACATATACGTTTGTATGTATATATTGATTCTTACTTAAAACGATAAGACTTTTCTTTTTGGATTTCTTCTGTGAAATTCGCCCCATATATATATGTACATATGTATATTTGTGCCTGTTATCAGCACATTTTATACAGATTTGAATATTTTTATTTTATTTTAGTCTCTTAGGGGCTTGTCGCCGTTATCAGACAGAAGAAATAATACATATCTTGAAGTTATTGTTTTTGTGTGCCCTTAGTACCTTTTGTTTGTTGAAATATGTAACAATTCGACATGTTTTTTGGAAATGAAACGATAAATTCTGATTCTCTACGCTATAATTTGATAAGGAATACAAAGGAGAAGCCCATAAGACTGAGTATTTTGTTATTTGCTTTGGGTCTTTGATTTTTTCAAATCTTCAAATGTACTTGTAGGTATTTTTGATTACATTAAATATTCAAACGTGTTAATAGTATTTACGACATCATTATTAATTAACACTACATTTCTTTATGTTGTTTCGAAAACACAACTCGTATCAAGCTGCCTTACTGACCAATTTTTGAACCAGAAATTTGCAAACGCTCCCTGAGCCATCAATAACTTTCAAGGTAGAAGGACTGAGTAAAAGCCCAATCTTGCAAAGTAAAATACTAAATTAGGGGAAAAAGATATATAATAAACAAAGCGTTTATCCAAATTTATCATAAACAAACCGGCAGTGATTAAGTAAATACCACAGTATTTTCCGCAAGATTTAAAATTTATTTTCTTAATTTTTCATATGCAACTAAATAATGATTTTTACATTTGATTTAGTTTATTTTGAAGGTCTTTTTTATTAAAATATGAAGTTTATTTATATTATATATTCCAAATAAAAATATTAATTTTATTAACTTATTTTTCATTTCTTTGATTTTACAATTTATAAGAATATATCAAAAGAAAATATAACTGTTTTCTCGCTTTACAAAAATTATTAAAATCAAGACGCTTGGAGTGAGTGCTTATTGTTATAAAAAAAATTCAAGTTTGTGATTTTCAAAAAAAAAATTAAATTTTTTTAATGATATTCGTTATCTTTTTCTCTGCTTAACTCCTTTCTCTGCTAATTTAAATAAAAATAATTTTTCATTTTTTGTCTATAATTAAATTATTTGATATCCTTTCATGACATGAAAATAGGAAAAACTACACATAAAATGATTAATATAGTAAAATTAAAACATTTATAGAGTGAATTTTATATATCTGTATGTTTCTGAAGGAAATTTTCCCCTTCATTCTATAAAAAAAAATCTTCTTGCAATATTCTAAAAATGCCAATTATGGATTTTCCAAGTAACGATAATCAATAACTTCTTCTAAATAATGGAAATTGTATATATTTTTGAAATAAGAAATCTAAAGTTATTTTAATTTAATTTTTCTGTCATCCCTGTAGTTAGAGTATCTGCCGAAATATGTGTTTGGAAATACGTGCACATAAATTCAATGCGATATTTATTCTAGAATTTTCGCACATTGATCATGCTACATGCGGCAATGCCACATGTACACGTATAGTTACCAAAAGCATATCTACATCTGCACATGCATTTAATAATATGCACTCAGTCAGTGGCAGGCACAGCAACACCATGCAACACGAAGCACCAAAGTGTAGTGAAACTGTCTATCCTCGATGGCGAGGTAAGACCGGCCGGTGAGACAAACAAAAACAGATTTTACCATTTGTAATGGAAGTAATTGTGTATATTATGCTGACATACATATGTATGCACAAGTGTGCATTAGAACCAGCGAACGGTGTTGAAGCACAAAGAGGCAATGAAATTTTCTGAAAATTTTCCATTGCCATAAAGAAAAAAAAAGAACAAACACAAATAGTAAAGTAACATACAGCTAGATATGTTTGTACATATAATATTATATACATACATACTCGTATGTATCTGAAATAGAAGTATAAACAACTCATTGGTGGGGGGTTGGGCCAGAGGGTTAAAGTGGTAAGTGGAACTGGAGTCAAATAGGGAGGTAGAGTCAGCACAAATAAAAGTATAAACATAAACATATACATAGATACACTGGTAAATAATGTATGTATGTAAGATGAATATGTTTACCTACATATATCTATATGATATACATACATACAAACTAATAAATATACCTAAAAAACGTACATATATAAGAGAACAATAAAAGTTAAGGTTTGATATCAAACGATCAAAACTAAAATCATATAAAAAGATGAGATCGGATATGAAGAAAAAGAACAAAAATGCCGATCTAACTACAAATCTTGACAGTTTTTTTCGAGAAATCTGCTAGGAAATTGTAAACTCTGAAAATTCGCTTATAAAAAGTAACTAAAACGACGAAATTCCATTTAATTTTACTTTATTTCTTTTTTTTCACATGACATATAAATTAATTTACTTAAAATAATTTTATTTTACTTTGTTTTATTTTTATTTAATTTAATTTATTTTATGCGATTTCATTTCTTATTTTGTTTGAATTTATTTTGCTTCATTTCAATTTATTTCATTTATTTTATTGCCAAATGCGCTTGCGAGAAAATTCCATATTTTGATCACTTCGACCAAACAAAATCTAATACATAATTTTACATATATATTTATGTACTTTTACACGTGTGCATGTATTGTACTATTTTTAAACTTACATATAGACAAGTTATATGTACGTTTTGTATGCATCTGCAATGCAACCGGCTTTTTCGAGTAACTTTTATTTTGTATATACATATGTAGATATGTAAATATGTACAACCAAGTGCTAGACAACAAGTATCGGTTGTTGCAATAAAGTTCGAGCGCAGTCAGCCGGTTGCATTTATGTACAGAACCAGGCACGAATAACCAATATTTAAATATATTCCTTCAGATTTTATATACATACATATACTAATCGAAACTATAAATATATATTTATGTATATCTAAATCATGCATCAGCTGCAAATGGACTATGGGAAGAGTTAAGTTTCTACAAGAAGCAAAAGAAAAGCATATATTTTTTCTATACAGACCCAAACGTCTAGGTAAATCAAAGTCAAATAATTACATTTTTTAAAGCAAGAGAATTCAGAAATCAAAATTAAACTTTATTTTTCAAAAAATAAAATAAATGCAATAAAGCTTTACTATCAGGAAGTCGTTTCAAATTTCACTGCAAACACTTCAGAAATCACTCTAAATTCATGTGAAACAACATTTCATAATTTCGCTTCAATTTCGAAAAAATATATCTACAAAATCTGCATTTATCGCTTTCATATTCGACTCGTGAAAATTGTTCATGTATACGACCAACCGACAGACCTTCATTTGCACCAAACGCTCTCGTTACAAGTACAACAACGCAATGAAAATGCTTTTCACAGAAAATATACGAATAACCGCTCAAATTTTATTGAAACGAGAGTGTGGTAAAATTACTCATTGCTCACGGCTAAAGAGATTTCAACATCAAGTTCGTTTCGTCAACAAGAGCTGATGAAGGAAATAAATTTTCAATAATCATACTCTTAAATGTGTAAACCTGAAATCTACTCAAATTTACAAAATGCTCACATGTAAACTAACTCAAACTCAAAAAAAGTGCTTAAACTCGTTTCTTACTCTTTGCTGTTGGACTCTATGGCCTCTCACTGCATATGGCATGGAGTTTTTTACTTGCTCAGCTGTTTTTTGACAACCCCCTATCATTCCACTGCACTCGCCCATCTACACTTTTTAGCTCAGATTCATCGATTCTGCAAGTAAATGCCTTACTTATGTATGTGCATATGTTTGTACATAAATATATACATAAGTACTATGTTAAAGAGGATCTTGTATCCTGTTTTTTTAGATTTAAGTCTCCCGCATATCTTTTAATGCCTATTCTTTATTCCGGCGAACTCATACTACATACTACATATACATGTTGATATGGAAGAAGCAGTTCATGTGTACATATATATGTATCTACAAACATACATATGTATCTGAAAGCATAATGGTCAAGTAAATCCAAAGGCTCTGAGGGAGTTTCAGAAAATAAAATTAAAAAAATAAAAATAAAATAAACAATTAAAAAATATATGAAATGAAATACTTTTATAAATAATATTAAATTAAATTCATTCAAATAAAATAAAATAAATCAAATTAATTTAAATAATTAAAATAAAATAATTTCATTTCAATTAAAATTAAATTCTTTTAAATAAATTCCTATTTCAGGTCAAAGTTCTGTAGAATTATTTGTTTTATTTATTTAGTTATTTGGATAGTGAGACAACCCCATAAAACTAAAACTACAAATAAATTAAATAAAAATAATTATTGTAAAACTGAAAATAACACTAATTCGCACCTACATATATGCATACGTATGTATATAATGTATTAAGTGATTCCTTCTATATTCAAAGTGTTTGTTTTGAAAAACATCGCGTTTATTGGAAGTTCTTTGATATCTCAGATAGAGATTCTCGAACCTTGGAAGGCATTATTTTCAAAAGCTTTATGCATACCATCGGATGGTATCAAACTTGGTAGATACGTGTGTAAATTTGCATGTATTATTAGAAGCATATGTTAGAAGAAAGTCATACGAGTACGTAAATTAAGATCCAATGTAGGCTATAAAGGCTGAAATATGTATGTACATAGATACATATGTTCGTGTGTGTATGCACGCATGTATATTAGTTGGAAAAGAAGACTTGTGCCATTACAGCTTGCTCTCTATAACTTTAACATACGTGTACATACATACACACTTATCTACTCTTTAACTTGGTTTCCTTTTTCAACTTTTTATCATCATTGAAATTTGTTCTTGTTTATTTTTTTTTTTGTTTGTGTTTTTTTTTTTTGTGATAATTTTACAACTTTTTCTTCTTTGTTGTCTTTCTTATTTGTCTCTTTCGCTAGCATATACTGCAAGTAATTCGACTCCGCCGACAGCGCGACGCTTGGAGCGGGGCGGAGTGTAGAGTGGCACAGCTCAGCTTGTGGTAATCATATGTTTTTCGTCGTATGACCAACAAAAAAGTGGACCCAATGCACGTACATACATATGTAGGTACGTACATAAATGCATCATGAGTATAATGTTATACAGATATACTACACTTCCATATGTTTTTTATGACTTTATGGAGAATATGAGTATCGTTATATCTTTGGGATGATATGTTTGTTTGTTTGTTTGTCATAAGGGGCTTGTATACAGACAAATGTGTGTTAAATTATTTATGTACATGTACATATATATGAATCTACACTTTAATGTTATAAATAGCTGCCTTCACTTCACCAACTTTTGCTTAGGTTCACTCAATGTTGTTTTTTTTTAAATATTTTTAATTCTGGTTTTTATACCTTGAATGAATATCGCATAATAACTTCGGTTCCTGAAGTTAAAATTCGAAATGTAATCGGTGCTCAGACGATCTTTGAGTATTTGGAAACAATTTTCCTTCCCATAACTTTTCAAACTAAGCAAAATCCACTGGATTTTAAGCCAACCATATGGCTTTCATAGGGAAAATATTCTGTGTGGAAATGAGCGAAATTTGCTTCTACAACTCATAGTTCCAATACAATTAAATCTTAAAGAACGAAACTTTAGTCCAAGAACTAACTTAATTAAGAGTAAGGCAGCTGAAATTTTCCTCTGAATATTCCGCTCACCTATTGTGAGGTAACGAGTGATTCTGACAATCATCGAAATCGTACCGTTATAAGGTATCGCTGTCATACAACTGTTAGTTCAAAAACAACATTTTATTTCGTAATTTCTGCAACTGAACGGCGGAAATTAAAAAAGCTGATATTCGACTAATTTATATGGACTAACAACTGAAAGTGATTATCATTAAAATCAGTCAACTGTTGCACTTGGCTGTTGTACAAGAGATGGCCCAAGAACGACATTTTCGATTCCAACTTCTCTAGTTAAAAAGCTGGCGTTACCAAACTTGATAAACCATTTATTAATTAATTAAGTATTAACTGAAATTGAAAATCATCAATATTGGACTATTCTATCCGTTGCCTGTCATCCAGCTGATATTTCAAAAGTGAGCTTTTGGATTAAAAAACCTTTTAAAAAGCAACTAAAGTGAGCAATTTTTGTTGCTTGGCAATCGCGAACTGCAAAACACTAACTTTAGGTTATTAAACTCATTAAAAAATTCAGTTCATGGAAGGTATAAGGTCTTGTTTTTTATATAAAAGTCGGCACATATTTATTTGTGCACGACTATTGCTGTTTTTATCTGACGCCCTCCACAGCCAAACCTTCATCCACATAAGATCTAAATACATATGTGCATGTGTATATTCATATATGTGTGTGTATACAAATAAAAATTTGTATGCTCAGAAAATGTATGCAGCATTGAAACCAGTTCCAGCTGAGCTAAGCAGGATGACAATGTGTAATAAAAAATATACTTTCCTACATACATACATACATACATAAAAGTTGTTTCCACTTATGCGATCCAAACGTGCCCTCTTCCAGTGCCAATTATGTTGAAACTGTGACCCTCAAACCGCACTGACTACACGCTCCCAAAGAACTGGTGCATGTTTGTGCATGTCTTTCGTCAGATTTCTTTCGGCACAGGTTCCTGTTTGTGTTTGTCTTTGGTTTATTATTCCTTTGTGTCAGTTTTTTTTTGCACTTGCCACACGTACATACATACATACTTACGTGTATGTACATACAAAGGCAGATCCCCTCATTTTATTCCTCAATTTACTTTGCTGATCGCACACTTATCAATCTGGAAATCAATCTCTTTGTTGAATCTGCTGTCATGGGCTGAGGCGATATTTCGCATTTTGATTATCGAATTATACAATTTCATCATACTTCGCTCCGTGTATCTGCAAGGAAAGTTCTGGTGCCTCTATAGTTCGGAGTTGGCCACAACAACGCCTCAGCAATTGAGCGTTTGCATGGCTCAGCTGCATTTTGTAAGTTTGTTTTTGTCGGCCACTACGGCTGTTGCTAGGTGGATTTGTGCCAGGCAGGCAGGCACGATCGGCGATCGAAGGCTTCAATCTACCAAGCAAAGGTACACCAGACGGTGAGACTGACGGTCGGTGCGCACGTCAGTTCCCTTCGCTAAAGTGTATGTGCTGCTTGGTACCTGGTATGCATTAGCTGCACACATACACGTACGAGTGCATACCTACTCACAGAAAATACAATCATAAATTTCTGCTGTCGATCGTCTGAGTTTCTGCTCTTTTCTTACTATTTCCTTTTTTTCCTTCTATCTTTTCTTTGTTTTAAGGCAAGATTTAATATGCTGGCGAAATGCGATCTGATTATTGGTTTAAGTTTTGTATTTTTATTTCTTTTTTGTTTTCTGAGTGACGTGTCGCCAGTTGCTCGTTTTTGTTTGTATTTTTTCTACAAACCAGGAAGAGCCTCAGTGCACGTCGACCATGCGTCGCATCTAATAACTGCAAATATATTCGTATTCGCTGGCACTTTCTAAGATCTGCATTTCGTTTCTTCACGTAATGAAAATTTCATTTTTGCAACTTTTCCTTGTATTTCATCACCTGGCGAAATGCAAAAGCACAAGTCATTCTCAGGCTTCTTTGGAAAAAGAGATTTAAAGCCAAAAGCATGCTTCTTGATGTTATACCGAAGGCCCAGCATCAATCTACCGGTTTCGGTGGGCACTCCTAAAGATGAAGATCCTCTTCTTGGGGGCCGAATGAAGTACATAATCAAAGCTTCCAGATTAATCCAAATTTTTTTTTATTAAGATTGTTATTAAATTGTCTGCTCATGACAAACAAGAGAAGTATATTGGTATGAGTGACCTTTATATCGTGAATCTTGAAACTTGAAAGTGTTTGATTTAGTTGTATCGAAAAACTTTGTCAGAAAGGGATTCCTAAATATAAAATAGTCCAAAGAAAGATGTAAATGCTTCTTTTTTTCCTAGATCAGTTTCCTTTCAAAACTTTTGATTTTGGTTCCCTTATTAGGCTGGTGTCAATTTGCCTGTCTCGATAGCTAGCGAGCAGAAAGTTTAAAATTAAGATGGTTTCATATCCCTATTTTTTTTGGTAAAAAAAATATTGAATTTTTCATCCAGAAAATCGCCTGAATCACTCCAGAAACATCTTCGAGGTATTGCTGAAGCTCACACTTTTATAGCGACACAATTTCACAATTCTCAGAAATACCTCCCAGCCAAGTTGACGCCAAAAGCTTCGTAGGTGCAGCCCAGCAACAGCAGCAAGTTTTTTAACCGCAACAATTTCATCACTCTTCAGAAAACGTTTTGCGTGCGATTTGTCACGCCTCCAGAGAGCGCAAAGTTCTTTAGCGCTGTTGCCGACTCGAAATTCCTTCGGTACATTTAGCGCGCGCTCGCTCTCTACTCCTATTCCATACGTATGTATGTATGTATGTATGACTTTGTGTAGAATGCATTATTAGTCACATTAGCTTTGCAATTCCGCAATAAGGTTGACAAGCGCAGACAGACCTCAAGGTTCCACATGTCTAAAACTCTCCCTAGCCATACACACATGTGCATGTGCATGTATGTGGACATGTGCTAACGCATCAAATCAAGGTAATTTATTTAGGCTTACTCATTAACCTCTACCATGCTTGATACAGAACTTAAATACATATGTATGTGTGCTCTAGAATGGGTAAATAAATAAATAATTTCGCAAATATTCATTCTGGAGACTGGACAAATAGAAGAAATTCTCAGTTGTTTGTTGTTGTTGTTGTTGATTCCAAATGTGTTGAGGTGTTCCAAAGTGTGCAGCTGTGCAAATAAGAGACTTTTATAGAGACTATAACGAAACTAAATAGACATACATATATATATGTTTAGAGAATTGTGTGTAACTTCAGAATATAAGTATATTTACCAATAGGTATTTACATACATATATGTATATTTATGTATATATGAAGGTAGGGTTGAGGAAATAGTTAAGTGAACTGGCGAAATTACCACAAATCTCACGCTTTAGCAGAGAGTTTAAGCTTCGAAATCTTATTTAGTAAATTGACATACATATGTGTAAGTAATATTTAGATTAACAACAACAAAAAATGGGTGATCAATCTAAAAAAAAAAAAACAATTATTAAAAGTATTTTTATTTATATTTATTTTTCTGTGACATTGGTATATTTGAAGGTGGGAAAAAATACTATCTTTACATAGTTAGTCATACACATATTTATCTGCTTAGGTTACTCACTTTATTATTTCGTATTTTGAAATCTGATGAAATAGAAAATGTTTCTAAAAACAAACCCCTTTTTATTGGATATAGATTAAACGGCTTTTATGATGCCATAGATAAGATTTTTACTCACAATTGGATGCGGTTTTCGAAACAAAGGATTTTTTCAACGACCGACATATGTATGTATGTAGTCGTGCCTACAAATAACTTAGGAGTCGTGAAATTCTTTTTGAAGATTTTGAAAATTATAACTAATAAGTAATTTAAATCTGTTTTGAATGAATTTTGAATTTTTTTGTTTCATTTTCATTTCGGAAACCTCAGGGTATTACTTACACAAAACGTACAATGATGGTTCATTAAAGAAAACACTTTTTACTTTTCATTATTTACATAAAATAGTTATTTTTATTGATTATATACATCTATTATATTTAGTAAATTGATTTAAGCAAAAAACTAAATAAATTAAAATTGCACATTTCGCAAATCTTGACATTTTTTTTAATTTTTTCGTAGATTTGCTTCGTTTGAAATTTAATAAATCAAAAATGTTATATTGGGTTTCGCTCTTTTTTCTTTAAAAATTATTTAGAATAAATAGATCAAAATTTAATTTGTTTTTTTTTTTTTTTTGTAAAAAGTACATAAATACCAACATTCTTTATAAATATAATTTTAATCGGTAAAATGAAGAAAGTCTTATTTTTAAATATTTCTTTGTATTCAAGGAAAATTTGATGAGTTAACTCAATAAGACCTAATTTGAAAAAAATTAATTCGACCGATTGAATTAACTAACGGATCAGATTTGTGATTAATTTCCTTGGTT